TGCTGGGTTTTCTAGCATTGATGTCATGCTAAAATGCTCTTTGGACCTATGGATTCCCCGTCCCTCCCCCCTAACATAACCAATTCAAATACAAACCAAGTTTGTTATTGCTCCATCAATTTTGTCATTCCCATCTGTGAACAGGACCCATGGCAAAAACTACCAACACAGCTGACAACAGTCAGAGCCATAGCAATCATAAGGCTGAACAGACTGAATGTGGAGTAGGTCAGCATCAGTTTAAGTTCTGTCCTGCAGAAGAATCCCCCAAACTATACCCTTGTCCTAGATATGAGGACTTGCTTTTCAGTCTGGTGTCCTTACAGTACTTTATTTCCTGGATTTTAGGGGGGAATAAACATACTGGTATGTCCTTTGCCATTTTCATTTCTCTTTGATCAGGACTGTATTTAACCTCATGAGTTAAAGCATTTAACAACAGAAGTGTGTTCCCCTCAGATGCAGTAAACAAATCTAAATATACCCATTGTCTCCTGTTCTCTACCTCATTCCTGATCCTCAAGCTTTAATATGGAAGCTTTGACAATGTTGTTTCTGTATTTCCATGTTTGAAACAAAGCTGACTGCATGTTTCTATGGTAAGTGTTCACATCTGGAGAGGATTTGTAAATGCCATAAGAACTGGATTCATCAAACAGAAGTGAGTAAGACCTCTGGTGATGCACATGTATGTTGCATTGTGAATATCAGGTGAATAGTACTGATTTACATTGCTTTAAAAAGTCTGTGACACTGTTTGAACCTTACGTCCAATTGCAATAATTGTAACCTTTGCTGAAGCCTTCAGTTTTTAGATTCTCCTGTCTGCTCATTGTAGAGAGAGGAAAGCAGTGCCAAGCTGTTGGAGGAAGATGTAGTACCTGGAAATAATCTGGTAATCCTCCTTTCCCCAGCTGATATTTTCTTAACAGAACAACTTTTGGTGAAATCCAGTGTTTGCCCTCAGCTTACTGAAGCAAATAAGAGGCCCAAACACAAGCCACTGCTATGTGTCATGCCAGTCCTGTTGTTGGTTTTTCTGGCTCTAGGGTGATTCACCGCTATCCTGAAAAACAGGCAGCCCTGGCACTGCTAGTCACCCGGCACCAACATGGGAATGCTCACTCTGGGGAAGCACAGCATATACTGCTAAAGAGAAGCTACCTTCTCCTTTTCCTGAAATCTGGAAAAAACTAGTTTCAGGATGTAACAGATAAAGCTACGATTGCCTTTTTCTCTTTCACAAAGGTTTCCAGGCCAAAATAAGCATTCTTACTGCTGTTAAGCTATTATTATTATTATTATTATTGTAATTAAGAGAGTATGACCATTATCTTCCATTTTTTCCCCTTTAGTCACTTTTAAACTGTTGAAATCCTGTTCTTTTTCCATCTCCTTTTGTTGTACTCTCAAATCTACACCATGTTCCTCAACATTTAACTCCACTGCTCTTCCACATCCTCTCTCACACCTATTCGAGCATTCCTGTGGTTCAGTTTGGCAGGCTGTTCTCTTTGCCTTGTGAACACAAGCTCCAACAACATGGACAGACATTAAACACTCTCCTTAGTATCCACCCGCTTCACTTACATAGCTGCATCTATACTGTCTGCAAGACACCTTTTCTGCTCAGCTCTTCACCCCTAGTGATCCTCATGCCCTTGGTTCATTCAACCAAAGTACAGTGAAGGTATAGTCAATATAAGACATGAATGAATGAAAGCTTAAAACAAACAAAAACCAATTCTTAACCTCTTGCTGTGTATGCCACAACTTCAGTAACAGTCTTCCCCCAGGCTGGGCTCCTAATGATGGAGCAATATCCCAATGTCTTTACACAAGAAAATCAGAGACTTGACTTCAAAAGGAGTTTCTAACCTCATACCTAATTGATCTGGTTGTACACCATTGCAGGGAGCAGAGACCTGTAGCGTTTAACTGGTGTGGGATCTGAAGCTGGTCCCCCAAGGCTTTTGCTTTAGGCATTGGCTCTCCATTGCAAATCTGGCCAGCTCTGCAGCAGAGCCTTTTGGCAAAGGCAGACATACAAATGAGACAGCTCTGCCCTGGAAAGGAGCAATTTTTCTCCCCTGTCAGCAAGTATGCAGTCACTTCCCAATGGTATATTTTTTATTTCTGATCCAGTTTTCCTTAGCTTGTACCAGCAGATATCTAGTGCTTTGTTTGTGAGATGTGTGTAATCCAGTGCATTTCTCAGATGGATAAAATTCAAGTCCCAGGGAATCTGAAGAAAGAGGCTAGATTTTTTTTTTTTTTTACTTGCTAGGGCAAGAGCTTCTTCAGCTTATCTTTTAGACATTGGTTTGTCTGTCACTGTTTGTGCTCTTGATAATGATGATGCACCTACATATGAATGTTTTAATGTTTTTATTAACTACATATTGGAGTTTTGCTCAAATTTCTTAGATTTTAGCAGGGAAAAAATAACTAAATATGAAAAATATACACTTGTAAGGGGGGTACTTTTGAATTAGATGATCAATGGAGCATAGAGGCATGAGAAAGAAATTATATTAGGATGTGAAACCAGCTAAAGTATTGTACAATGTAACTTTATGGCACAAGTTAACTGTAAGGTCCATTGTGCTTTTTAGCAAGTCAACTAAATGTCCCCTATTATTAGAGCTGAGTTCCTCCTTGGTTTTGCTACATACTGCAATATGGATACATATACCCTTGAAACACAATGGTGGAGGTCATACATAGGAGTGAGAAAGATGATGGTGAGAGGAAGATTATGTGGGCAGGGGTTGCTCGCCCCTTGCCCTACAGTAGGGCATGTGCAGACTTGCTATTAGGTAATGATTAGGCGGTGTTTGGCTGCCACTCAGGCATCACCTCATACTGTGTACTGGCCCTATGTAGTGTAATGCAGAGATGATAAAAATGTGGTGTCAGGACTGCTGGGCTAAGCAATACTCAGAGACTGTGTTCCTCCGCGGGGGCACCCGCTAAGCATGGGTACCAACCAGCTGCTGCAGATCCTAGTAGCCCTGGCCTGTCTGTGTAGGTAAGCACAGTTTATTGATAGGAAGCAACCGAGAAAGCAAATGTTTTTTAATATCCTTTTAGTGTCCCTTTAATTCCCTTTTAATTAGTTAATACTGTAATAAAAGTAGTCCATAGTATTTCCTTTTAATTCCCCTTTTTACTAATTAATATTGTATAAAAAGTTGTCCATAGTATTGCTTTAATATCCTTTTTCGGTATCCCTTTAGTTCCCCTTTTACTAGTTAATACTGTATTAAAAGCTATTGTAGTATTGTATGAATGCTAACCGATAAATTAGTTATTCTGTATTCTTTTTTTAGCTTTTGATTCTCTTTGCTAGTTTTTTTTATTCTCACTGCAATAAAAGATTTTTTGTGGTGTTTGAATGTCTGTTGTACTTGTCTTTATTCCGGGCATGTATCCTAATGAACTGGTACAACACTTTCTACAATGGGACACAGAGGACTGGTTTAATTCCCAGATGAAACTGGTTTCATTTGATTGAAAGGCCACATCATTTTAGCACTGACACACTGCATCACTAAGACGGGAGTCCTTGTATCTTAGGGGGCAGGATCCACAAGACTGAAAATATAAGACTAGAGATTTATTTCTTGTTTTGCCAAGCAGAGCTTTGATACAGATAGGTGATAACTACGCTTTCTGGAACACTTTCTGGTCTGTGACTAAGGCCTCCAAGTACGGCAGCTGTACAAACAGGTGACGGAGTCACATTCTGCCTATGGAAAGGGACAATTGGAGGAAGAGTAGGAGGCTGCAAGCCTGTAGCAGCATGAGTGTGTGGTGTGAAGCACTGGGAGGATGCCATGCCAACCCCATACCTTTGAGCCTGAGTAAGACAGAGAAGGTGACTGAGAAAAGCGCAAGTGGAGAGGAAAATTAAGACGCTTTGGGCTCTGATAAGGCTGACCTTGTAAAGGGTCATCCAAGGTGACAAGTCAGAGAGTCAGTCATGCAGAGCAGGAGAGGAGGGCATTCTGTGTAAGGCACAGAGCACTGGGGTAGATGTGAGAGCTGTGCAGGCTGTTGTCACCCATGGTGAATGTACCAAGGCACAGGGAGCACTACCAGAGCCTGTATGTGTTGTGGCTGCAACACCCTGTTAAGTGGAATGGAAAGGTGGGTGCTGTTTGATGGGAACCAACAGGAAACTAAATAAAAGACTGTAAATAGACTGTTTGGAGTGATTAAATGCAAGGACAAGAACAATAATGAGAAATACTTCCATAAAATATCTCAGTGGTTTTGCTTTTCATTCTTTCTCACTCCTCTCTCTCCTGCTACCAAAACGAACAACTTTGTAATGTAAAGAGCCTACGTCTTTAATTGTCACAACTTGCCTAAAGCTGCTTTACAGCTGGGTCTCCATTCCATACACAGACAGCACCTGGACCCATCCACATAACAAGTATTACATATTACATATTACATATGACGCTGGATTTAGTACAAGGGGAAATGCATCCAACTGGCCGGATTCTGTACCACGTTCTTGCATTTGTGTGGATGTTACTGTTCCGTTTCGCCCATGTGCCTTTCGCCTCGGCCCTGCTGACGTCAGGAGCTGCCGCTTCACCCAGTTAAATATTAACTGCTCGGTTTTCCAACGCAGCACCTCACGTTCTGGGATGAAGGCAAGGCCGGGAGCGTGGGGCAGGCTCCTGAGGAGGGCTTGCCCGCTCATTCCACCCCAGTTTCTCCCTTTTGGGCACGCTCGGTTCGTTCCACTGGCCTCTGGGGTCTGGCAGCTGGTCAGACCTCGCATTAGCAGGCGGGAATCTCGCAGGCGACGCAGTGTTCCGCAGGCAGCTTTCCCGGATCGCCGTCCGTACAGACCGACCCCCCGTCTCCGAGCGGCCCCGCCCGAGCCCCGCCTGATGCAACCCGTGCCCCGCTTTACCCCACGCGCGGCGCCGCGAAACCTCCCGCCCTCGTTGCATCACCCGAGGCGGGGCGGGGCGGGGCGGGCGGCTCGGGCCGCCTTTAAAGCGCCGCGGCGGGGTGTGCGGCCCCACAAACGCCGCGGTCCCACGAGTGCCCCGCCCGCCCGGACATGAAGCGCGACCCGCAGCGTCCCGAGGAGTGCCCGGAGCCGCCGCCGCGGCCGCTCCTGTCCTCCTGCTCCTCCTCCTCCTCGCCCTCGGGGCAGGCGGAGGGAGCGGGGCTGACGGCGCCCGTGTGGATCTTCGGGTACGGCTCGCTGGTGTGGAGGCCGGGCTTCGAGTTCACGTCGCGCAAGGTGGGCTTCATCCGCGGGTACAGCCGCCGCTTCTGGCAGGGTGACACCTTCCACCGCGGCAGCGAGAAGATGGTAAGGGCACGGGGCGGCCGCATAGGGGGGCTGCGGGGTGCCGGTGTCGCGGGCTCGGCTTCTAATGGCGTTGTCCTTGTCTGTCCCCACAGCCCGGCCGGGTGGTGACGCTGCTGGAGGACTGCGGGGTGAGTACCGGGGCGGTGGTGGCTGGCCTGGGCCGGGGAGGTGCCCACATTAGCAGTGGGAAAGTGGTGTCTGCAGTCGAGTGCCCTTGAGGCCCCCCGGGATCGTGGGGGGGTTGTGGAGCGTGTTGTCCTTCTCTGCCCTGCTATCAGTTGTGCAGAGACCCCTAAGGTAAGGGGGAGCCTTGATTTGAAGCATTAGTGGACAGGCCACTGGAGTTACAGCATCCCATAACCACCTTGCTCTTTCATTTTTAGGCATGCACATGGGGTGTAGCCTATGAGGTCCGTGGGGAACAAGTTGCTGCATCACTTCAGTATCTCAACGTGCGAGAAGCTGTCCTGGGAGGCTATGACACTAAGTTTGTGGAGTTCTACCCTCAGGAGAAAGATGCAGAGGAACCCATTCTGGCTCTTGTTTACATTGCAACACCCCAGAATCCTTCTTACCTTGGCCCAGCATCTGAAGAGGAGATTGCAGCTCAAATCATTGTCTCAAGTGGTTGTGCTGGTCATAACATTGAGTACTTGCTGAGACTGGCAGACTTCATGCGTTACTTTTGTCCTCAAGCAGAGGATAAACATCTCTTCTCTATTGAGGAGGCTCTTACTTCCATCCTTCCATGTCTATACTACACAGAGGAGTCTCTAGAAGAAACTGCCAGTGTCCCTCAGAAGTCTAAGGGTTGAAATAGGAATTTTTTTTTTCAGGTTTCCAGTAGAAGGGACATGAGGGAGAAAGCAGTGGGGACAGTCTTGACTCTGTTAAATATACTGGACTGAGTGAGTAAAGGGAGAATTAGCAAGTAGTAGGGGAGAGAGGAAGTGAAGAGTAAAACACTTACTTATAAGACTTGCAATTATTACCTGTTATACTCCTTATCTGCAGTATCACGCTAGCCATCACTGCTTTCCAGGTGGAGAGAAGTGATCTTCACTGGAACTTTGCTCTGTAAGACTTGCTTTCAGGAGTCAAGGCTGAAGCACTCACTTTCTTTAGAGAAGAAAGAGGCTCATCTGTTCTGTGCACTTTTTCATTTTTCTTGGAAGACTAGTTGAGCAGGACTTGACTGGGTTTAAGCAGTATATATGTAATTCTACCTCAGATTGGCAGAAAGCTGCTTGTGTGATGGTGGAGACTTCGGGAGGTTCTGCCAAGTACAACTTTTTTTTTCCTGCCATGTCCCACCTCCAGTACAATGTCCTGACATTAAATTTTAGGACTTCTGTGCAATATTAAGTGAACAGGGCTCTTCAGGCTCTTGTGCATCCTACTAACTTATGTTGTGAAGGATCACAGTAATGCACTTGTTTTCTAAAATGTCAAACTGTATTTATTATGTGTTATATTTTTTTCTTCGGAGGGGTATCTAAACTGTTCACATGCCACAGTGGTATGCAGCCCATGTTCAGCCTTGCATTTGTGCCTTCTAGTTTTAAATCCATTTTCTGAGGAGCTAAGCCTGCTTTAATGGCAAGCTTTTTTCCAAGCTTCACTGACCTTGTGCTGCTACGGACTTAACTGACTCTGTAAGAAATGGCCCTGCCCGTGTCAGAAGCCTGTGCTGCCTGCGGGAAGGCTGTCAGGATGCAGGAGTGTTTTAACTAGCCCTGTAGTGGATAAACCTCTGGTGCTTCAGGATAATGTGGGTTTCTATAGAAGCACTGGAGGGTTCTAGTTCCATACCCAGGTGTCTGGCACACTTTCGTTTAACTGCAAAGGACTGTGACTGAGCATACTTGAAAGCCTGTGAGCTGCTGAAAAGCCTGCCTTGATCATGTTAAGCAGAGGCACTGCTACAAGTTCAGACTTTTCAGCTTCATGTATTAACAGCATGAAAACCTATAGTATTTTGTGAGAAAAACTACTGCAACTGCAGCAGAATAGCTTTTGAGAGCTGACTCCTGGGACAGTTGACTCCTCCCAAATACCATGTGTTTTTTTAATTATAAAAAAGGCTAGAGACTGTTTGTATTACTGTGGCTTGTATGTATATGAAGTGGTACGGTGCTGTGCCCAGTAATAAAACAAACTGACAAAGTCAGTCTCATGTACTTTGGTGTTGGTCTTTTTCATAGTGACTTATAGTTCACCCTGTCTTTTTTTTTTTTTTTAATGGTGATTGTTTTTAAAAACAAAGCCATAACTGCTAATGCTGCTGTAGTTCCTATGGGGTTTTTTTGTGGTTTTTGTTTGTTTGGCTTTGGTTTTTTTTAATCATCTTTCTGCTAAGCAGCATGCCTTTGCTAGATCTACTGGAAGATTGACTCTTTCCCTTTGAGAAAAGGGGATTCAGTCCTCTTCTCAGCTTCCAGCTCTTGTTGATTCTGGAGTGCTGGTGCTGACAACAGATACAAGCCAGCCCTCCTGACTCTGCAGGACAGGCACAGAAATGTGATTCTTCCTTTACAGGTCAAAGGATTTTCGTTCGGAGTGTAACTGGGTGTTGCTGTTTCCAAGAAGTAATAGTGGAAGGACAAGAAACTGCTGCAGCAGCCAGATCTGCTGGCTGCAGTAAGGGAGACAGTTAGTTATTTTTTTCTGCCTTGTGCACCATGTGCTGTGTGCAGGGGTACATTCCCACTCCTCCAGTTACGAGCTGCCTCAGCACCAGCAGATCATTGTACCTACCACTATTACCTGCCTCAGGACTGGAGTGATGGAATGAAAACAAATTGAAACAACAGAATTTACCACTAATTAAAGGCAGTTGCGTGTTTCAGGGATAACAGACTAGAGAAAACTACACTTTCACTGTTCTGTGGAGGATCTCGCTGCAGCTGAGCAGCTGCACAAAGCAGGGGGGCTGGGGTATCCCCCAGTTGGAAAATCAGAGGGTTAAAGATTCAGCTTAGCTGCAGGGAAACACTCCCTTACTAGTACAAGACTGGGGTCAGATTCCAAAATAGCTTCAGATAAAACAAAAACATTTTCACACCTTTCAGATTTTCAAAGACACCATTGACAGGAATGTGCATTGCCAGTGTGCAGGGAGAGGTCCTTGCTTTGTTTGTCCTGCCTAGCCTGGGTTGGCCCTGTGATTTTTCACTTCTCTGGCAAAAGACAGGCAATGAATGCTGGTGAACAACCCAGCAGTGCTAGGAATGTTCCTTTGGCTGCTGTTTCTTCTTCCCTGAAAAACTTAAACATTTTAAGCACAGTTACACCACTGAAATAGCATTTTGTTCCCAAGGAATTCTTTGCAGGGGACTTCCAAAGAAAGAACCCCATATTCTTAACCAGACGTGGTGAGTGTGGCAGGTTGCTGCTGTCAATTTGTCACTGCATCTTCAAGTCAGTAAGACAATGAGGTATCATATAACTTTTTTCTCCCGAGGCTTTTATTGTGTACTGCAAATCTGGGAACTGGTCACCTTTTGGTCAGTTGATGAGTTAAAAGGTTACCATCCCAGATTTGAACCTTGGCCATGTGATTGAGGAGAGACAGCACCCTGCAACATTTTCTATATGCCCAGATTACCTTTGTAATGCTACTAAAGACAGGGGACCACAGCTGCTTGCCTCTGACAAACCAAATGTGAGGAAGATAATTGTTGCTTGGAGGCAGTCTCACAACTGCAGCACTTGGGAGTGCCAGGTCAGTGGTAACATACAAAGACAGTGTCCTATCCCAGATACGTTTCACTATAGGTTTCCTCTCCCCATGCCTCTCCCCATTTCCTCTCCCAGGCAAAACAGCTGGCTGTGGGTCCACCTCCAGCTTCTGGCAGCTCTGCCACTGGCCAGACAGCTGGCATGGGAAAGAGCACTTGTCCTTGTCAGAGGGTAGGACAACTGCCTTCATTTGTAAAGTGCTGCCAGACACTTCTGGAGATGTTTCCCTATCTAGCAGCTTCCTCTTGCATGTGCAGTTTTCTCTGACTTCCTTATGAAAAGTTTGTGCCTCTCAGGGCGTCTCCCCACTAGAAACCAATTGCAATAGAAATGTTTACAAGCACTATCAATCACATACTTCCAAAGTTTCTATACCAGCACAGTTCACGTGATTTCAACTCCTTCTTCAGCCTTTTCCATTTTCCTGCCCAGCAGTTCCCACACAGCCTTGGAACATGGTCCTAAGTCGCCACTTCCTTGACTATATTAAGAGAGGACCTACCCAGCTGCTTCGCAGTGGCATAAACAAGGTAAATAAAGTAGATGACAACAGTTAATCCACCCTCAGTCTTTATATGTATAAAGTACTCCTGAGGACACACAGTCCTTTTTAGGGCAGGAGAAAGAATAACAAAACTCAGCAGTGTTAAAAGGATTCAGAGAACTCAAAACCGAGAAAAAACGCTCTGGTTCTTAGGTGCCGCAGTATCATCTCAGTTTCAAGGTACAGTGTTGAGAACAGAAGAGACCATAGGTAAGTCTCTACCAAAGTGATTCCAGCTTTAGTAAAAATGTAGTTTAAATATAGCATCATCAAAGTGTGAACTTACCTGTGCTCTGTGTACTTCTCTAGATGAGATGCCTGGTCAGAAAATTAGTGAGACTAAACTCATATTTGTGGTTGATGGCAATAAAGGCATGCAGCTTAGGGAGGGAGATGGTAGGAGAGGAGTAGGGAACAGACCAGCATTCCTCAGATGGTGCCAAAGCAGCCAATGGCTTGTTTGAGCATCCCAGAAGTGGGGCTAGCACAGACTTTGAGGGCTGCAGAGGAGCCCATGTGGGATCTCAGTCCCAGGAGGAGCTGAAGGGAAGAGGTGCAGCTCTGCAGGCATACCGATAGGCTTGAGAGGGCCCCTGGGGCTCTGTGGTGTGTGGTGGGGAGAGGCTTGCAGGCAGCCTGCAAGTCACAGGGATGGCACATGCTGGCTTTAACAGCTGCTGCAGGAGCTGCAGCTGGTTGTATGTAGCACATGTGTTATTCCACGTGTCTGCTTGCTGCCCAAGAGACAGGCTGAAATGTGGATTTAATTACCTACAGATGTTTCACAGGCTGAGGAATAGCAAAAGATAAAATCCCAAAGAATGCTCCAGGTCAGCCTCTACAGCTATACACAGGCTGACCGGCTGGTGACAGTGAGAGCAGCTGGTGCTCTTCAGCTACGGAGAGGCTGCGCTCTGGCCAGCACTCCCCTCTGCAGCAGAAGCACTTCAAGCACACTGAATACAGACTGAATGCGCCCAGAAGCCATGTCTGGCTTGGTAACAGCGTGTTCTTCTGCTCCTGTTACCAGGGAAGACTGGAGGGAAAAGAAAGCAGGGGAAAGAAAGAGGGTCTACTGGGTGTACAGCTGCACCAGGACAAGTGAGACTGACCTTGCATAAAATATCCATCACAGAACACACAGACGTAGTCACTTGTGCACTTTGATGCTTCTTACAACACATTATAGATAATTCAGTGCCAGAATGATGGCACTGCTGACATGTTCCAAAAACTGGTAGTCAGTCGAGGCCTGGAAGACCTTTGTGAAAGTTTAAATGGGGTTATATCATATTCAGCACAATAATTTCATCCCAAAGGCAGAGGAGAAAACAAATGAGCAGAATTTAGATGGGAGATTTTCCCTGAGTCAGACTTTTCACTTTGGTGCTGCCAGTTTTCATGACACAGCATATACTTCAGTAGCACCAAATCCAAAGGTTTTTTTTTTAGAAATCAAGGACAGATGCAATCTAAAAATGTGCGGTCCCAAAGCATGGTTGAGCAGCAATGTGTCACCAGCACTCAGCCTAGCTAAGCACAACATGGATCCCCATGCATGGGAGGAAGAGGAAGGGATTGAAATAAAATACATTTACAGTCAGGCTGCAGAAAAACTACACTTGCAGCAAAACCAGCAGCTGCTCAAAGGACTTAGGAATTTCCTACTAACTAGTTGCCTTGGCTTAAGTGAAAACTTCCCTAACTTATATGTTGTATTAAAGTTATGAGAGAGAAGTCCCTTATGGCTTTGAAGGAGCCTCAGGCTCAGGAGGGGAGGGAGGGTGGAAGGAAGTAGGCATTCTGGGCAGCACTGGGGAAGCTCTACATGCTTTGTTTACAAACCCTGTACACTTTTTGTTTGGCTTTTGGATGTGTTTTATCCTTTCTCAACTCCCTTTTCATCTCATGGTAGTGCCAGCCACACTGATGAGTGTTTATGCTTGCAAATTCCTGAAGCACAGCCAGTACCTTGAACTCCAGAGAATGAGACTGAAATAACGTAAAAGGTCAGGGAAGTTCAAAGACAGAGGTACTGTTTTCCTAGCTGGGGACACCACACTGTTCCCAGACCATGCCGGGCTGCTCTGGGGACACAAGAACAAAGACTTCTCTCTTATGTCCTCCTATTTATGCTGCTTTTTGCCTCACTCACCTCACTGTTTTAACAGGACTCATTTCCATGAAGCTTCAATTAAAACCACCAGGGATCAATTTGGCCTGAGCCTGACAACTGAAGAGACACTTGTTAGCTACTGGCACTTAAAACTCCTGTCACCAAAGGAAAGGGGAAGTTTTTATCCCTCTACTCAAGTCCTGCTGGCTCACATAGTAGGCACAAAGCCCCAGAGTGCTGCTTTGTCCACAAGCAGGTATCAGCTATTGAGACACCTGGAAATCTGTAAGTGTTTCATCCACAGGAAGACAAGTCACAGGATGGCTTTTGGAGAGAAGAGGTTTCATTCACCATTTTTGGTTAGCAAGCCTGGCCTTCAGAAACATGATGAACATGCACCTGACCTGGCTGGGCACATGGTGGGCACATGCAGCTCACCTGTGCTGTGCAAGCAGAGAGCATGAAACACCCTCCAGCACATTGGGCACACCGCCCACGCTCCGCACCAAGCTGTGCAGTGCACTTCCAGCTGCAGATTTCTGCAGGTCAAGGGGTTCACTAGCACATGCACCACGACACGGTGTGCTCATTTGGACAGCACTGCAGCTGCCCCAAGTGCCCTCATTCACAGGTGAAGGGAGGCTAGGGAATGGTCCAGCATAGTGTGAGCACTGGATTTCACTACTGTATGGCCTCAGCTCTCTGCTTTGCCTTGAACTGGGGCTATGGACCAAGAGACACCAACAGCACAGACAATATGGAAGTAATTTCACAGCCAC